AGGGTTGAGGGTTGAGGGTTGAGGGTTGAGGGTTGAGGGTTGAGGGTTGAGGGTTGAGGGTTGCAGGTTGAGGGTTGAGGGTTGAGGGTTGAGGTTTGTTTGGGTGCAGGCTTCATCATTTAGGGTTTAGGTTTAGGGTTGAGGGTTCATGGTTTAGAGTTTAGGGTTTAGGATACAGGGTTTAGGGTTTAGGGTTTGGGGTTCAGTGTTTAGGGTTGAGGTTGGAGGGTTGGGGGTTGAGGGTTGAGGGTTGAGGGTTAAGGGTTGAAGGTTGAGGGTTCAGGGTTGAGGGTTGAGAGTTGAGGGTTGAGGGTTGAGGGTTGATGGTTGAGGGTTGAGAGTGTGAAGGCTGGGGTTTAGGGTTTAGGGTTTGGGATTTAGGGTTTAGACTTTCTGGTTTCTGGTTTTTGTTTTTAACCAGTGGTTTTGGGTTTAGGGTTTAGGGTTTAGGGTTTAGGGTTGAGGGTTCAGGGTTCAGGGTTTAGGGTTTAGAGGTCCTCAAGTCGATCGCCATGCGGGTTGACTGGGTTCTGTGATCGGTGCAGAAGCGGTGAAGTGTCACTTGGGAATACCTGGGCGACGTGTACGCCCCGACGTGTTGAGGGTTTCAAGGACAGACCTACAACTTTCATCGTTTTACGAAACTTCTCAAAGCACCGTCGAGCATGACAGCGACGCAAATCCCGGGGAGTGGGGTCTGCACCGAACAAATACCCGAAATTTCCGGGTATTTCCAACGTTTCAGGGTTGAGGTTTTAGGGTTCAGGATTTTCGAATCCACGGTTTAGGGTTTTGATGTGATCCTTTCGAACACGAGAAATTGCACCCACGGACCCTTTTGTTCAGCCGACCTGGGCCAAGAGTTGGAACGTAAGAGTTTGTCAGGTTACGCGAGATCTTGCTATCGTTTCTCAGCCAGTTTCAGTTGTTTACAAAAAACTGGTGTTTATGAGACATGTCGACGGGTTCTCGTTTACCACACTAGTTCCTTCCCGTGTGGATGCAAGTAGATTGGGGAACTCCAACATATGTGAGCCTCGGTCGGACAGGTGACGAGCCTCGGTGGTTGATAGGTGTGAGACCCTGCTTGGGAGGACCGAGGCTCACACAGTGTGGGTAGATTGGGAAACTCCAAGAGAGTTGAAAACCTCGGCGCAGTCTCCCCACCAAGTAGATATACCATCTGTATTTGGGATACCATCTATATTTGGGGCCCTTCAGGTCCTTGAGGTTCTTTTAGCTACCACCATAGGCGGACACCGGAACTTGTTCTGCAGAAAGGCCATGCTTCCGGGCGACTGCGTCGGAGTTCCCCACTCAATTGGAGTTAGCCGGTTTCTGCTGCGATCCTCTGTACCTGGGGGCGTGAGGCAATCCGAAAGGAAGCATGGCTTTCCTGCAGAACAAGTTCCCGTGTCCGCCAATATCGAGAGCTCGAAGAACCTAAAGGGGTTGCCCAACCTGCCGCGCGTGCGTGGAGAGGGCGGGCGAGAGCTGTGAGCCTCGGTCGGACAGGTGATGAGCCTCAATGATTGACTAATGAAGGTAAGTTCTCTCTCGCTTGTGGTCCGGGCCTTGGCCGGCGCGGCCTCTCTCCTCCCAAGCGGGGTCTCTGGTCGACGCAGAGCCCGGGTGTGGGTTGGGGGTTACCCCCGACCGACACTCCCCTCATTGACTCTGGGGACACAGTACAGTCACTCGCGCCCCGCGCTGGAAGCTCTGGTACTTCCAAGTCTGGATGGCACATGTATGTATTGAATAGTTTTCTCGTCGCTGTTTACTCTGAGCACACCCATCGCCCTCCGCGCAGCACTCCCGGAACGTCTGACCGCCTCTTTCGGAGAGGAAGGGAGTTTGCCGACACGGGCAATCTTTCCGGCGTCTCGCTCCGAGGCGGGCCCACCGAAGCCGACTGTAAAGGACGCGAGGGGGAAGACTGAGGACGACAGCTACTTGCGCTCGGAGACGTCGGAGAGAAAGGGAGAAAGTACGACGCTCATTCATGGAAGGTCGCTGAAGAGAGCGAAGGAACGAGAAAACTTTTAGTCTACTCCGTTGTTCCCGTCTCGTTTCTCGTACCCGAAAAGATCGCCGCATTTCTTGCTTTACAAGAGATGCAGCGCTTTTTTCGACACAGCCATTTTCCCGACAGGGAAAAGCAGAGCAAAGCTGTGAAGCTGCATGGAAGACGCGTGGTTCTGTTTGGCACATCCCTTTGGTGACGAGTAGACTCATACGCCCTACCGTAGGGCCCTAGGACCTGCCTAGGACCTGTAGGGGGTCCTTTAAGACCCCCTCGCCACTTAATGGATATCATATGTGGGGATTGAGGTTTACGGTCTGGGCAGACAAGTTGGACTATGGGTACCTCGCTCATGGGAAACCGCCCCCCCCCCTAGGACCACCATAGGGAAGGGCCCTGGGCATAGCCCTACTGTAGGGCCCTAGGGGGGGGCGCTTTCTTATGGGCGAGGTAGC